GCTTCAGTAGCATGACTGTCAAGACAGTGGCTACCAATCAAAAAGGAATTGAAGCACTTTGTGGCCAAGTAAAGTCAAGGGGCGCATCAGCTAGCATTGGGTCGATGAAGCACAGCCAGGTTGCTCAGAGTGGCATGCCTGATGAAGCTTTGATACACACACAATGTAATCCTTCCCAGCATCCTGCTTTTACGGTTCTCATGCCATGTCCGCCACTTTGCACCGCGGTGACGGCATGCGCCGTGTGGTCGTGCAGATTCTGTCTGGGTTGTGCTTGATTGCGTTGACGCTTGACTTGGAAGCTGAGTGAGACTCTTTTTTTTTTCAGCCTGGCCACCGCCAGCACCAGCACCAGCACCAGCGCCAGCGCCAGCGCCAGCACCAGCGCCAGCACCAGCACCAGCACCAGCACCAGCGCTGCCCAGGTATTGTTTTAGCGTCTTTCTCGTTATTGGGACTCTGGGAAGCTACATGCTGCACGAATACTGTCCAAGTATTGCACAGGCTGTAGGGGTTATATGGTATGTTAGAGGATGAATGATAACTCAAGACCATTATGCTTGTATGGTCCCACTCAAGCTAGCTATTGTTTTTAATGTGTGTGTGTGTTTTTTCTTTTTTCGATGGTGCAGGCCCTGACAGTATGCGTGCTCCAGAGAGGAAATATGATCATTTATTTGCAGCTGCTTGCTCGTCTCACCATGTTGAGAGCTCGTAATACAGGGGCCTGAACAGTTGCTTACTTATGTTTTTCCATTACCATGTCTAATTCACTTAGTCAGAATCCTCTGCAACAACCCCGCTTTCAATCCTCTAGGCCCTTGGGGTAGGATGCTTCAACATGTTTTCCCCAGGCTTGTGGTGGTTCTCGGATCTGCGCGGACCCACTACGGCTATCGCGTGCCATGTGATGTGGGCGACAGCGACTCACAAGCTTTGTTTGACTACATGACTCTTGCCAGCGCTGGCTATGAAAGGACCTGGAATAGGAGATGATTTCTATCCCCTTATTCTGTGTACTTTCGTCAGGAAGATTATATAGTGGCTCGAGCCCCGAGACGGACCCCAAGGGATAATCATCCGTAGTACATCGACTCCAAAAAGGAGCCCCGAATTCTTGGAAACCCGAATCCTTATCACCACTTTAGAATCCCAGTGCCCACTCCATTTTCGATGTTCTTTTCCGTTACGTTCTGCATTATTTGGTTGACCCCAAAAGGAATCCCCGATGTCTATCTCTTGGATACTGCCCCCACTCAGTAATATTTAGAGAATAGCCTTTATATGATTATATAAAGCCCTTAATATCCCCCTATTATAGTCTGGACAGTACCCAATCTCTATGTCCGTTAAATAAAGGAGGGTGCAGGCTTAGAGCTTGAGCGACCTTTACTGTAGGGACCTAAATAGGAGGGTTTAGGGTTTAGGGCTTAGGGGCTTAGGGTTTAGGGTACCAGTACAATGGTAATGTAGGGGCTCCAACAGCTACGAACATTCTACTTTAGGAGGAGCCCCCACCCTGTAATAGTGGTAACATGGGAATATAAGGGGGCCCTAATATTATCGTTATTATCCCTTCTAGTCACTATTGCCGGGTGGGGGGTTCCACCTAAATTATACTTCTAGATTCTTCGTATGCTTATGGTTCAAGGGCACCTGAAAGAGACTTCCAAGGGATGCTTGTAATTATTTATCATGAGGGGATTTTGGTAAACCCAAACCCCTTAAATTAGGACCTTATAACTTTAGGGTTTAGGGTTTAGGACAGTCATAGGGTCATGATTTTGGGGCTTAGGGTTACTAAAATCCTTTTATTAGTCTAGGCCCCTAAACCCTAAACCCATATTATCAGCCTGCGATCTGACTCTTTGAGGTCCTTCTATGCGTGTTCGGAGCTGCTGCCCAGCCCAGCCAAGGCAGGCGTTTGGGATCGAGGGTGTACTTTGTGGACCCTGGGGTTATTAATGGGTTAGGCGACCAATGTATGTATGAAGGGCTGCAATCGTGTTGTAATGGGCTTCTTAAATTGAGTAGTGTATTACAAAAACAGTCGGCCCTTTTTCGCTGCTTACGGAGGCCTAACGCTTGAGAGAGGCGGCTGCCAAAGTCTAGGAGTTAGCAACTAGCCAACTTACGGACAAAGACCCATAAGAACTCGCAAAACATATGTTTTGCCCATTGAGCATTGCATTCTGCAAGTCCCACAGCACAGCTGGTGTAAAGATCCTTTGTCTTCGTGCCGCTACCAACTAGTGACTAGTTTCCTCCGTCCCCTGCTGCTACAAACCTCCGCTCTCCTTCTATCCTTGCCTAGCGCTGCTGTCACATGTGTTGGCTGCCCTTGTACTTGAGTGTGGTTAGCTGAAACGATTGTGAGGTACATCCAGCCCTATTCCTAAGCTCATCCGTGCTTCTGTTTCCCACAAACTCCTGAGTCAGGCAGTCCTCCTACTCCTGTGGCTGGGTCTACTGATCAGCTTGCTGGTGGGCAGCTCAGTCTCCGGCTTGGTCCAAGGCTGATTGTGATATTGTGGAGTTCAGGGGTTCGGGCCTGGGGTGCGGTTTGGGGTTTAGGATTTAGGTTCACTTTTGGCTTTGATGGCTGCTGCCCAGGTTTTGGGGGTAGCAGCAAGCAGACGGCCCAAAGTGTCTTGATGCTGGACGGATTGAAACGAGGCTATTCTGCAGAGGCTCGTGTTCGTTCCTATTGTTGCAAGTCGCAAACTGCTATCATCCCGGATGTCCTCAGCACGTGTCTGCACACCCTAGTGTGGACCTCTACTTGTTGCTGTCAAAGATATTCTTCAGCTTGTCGCGAGATTACAGCAAAGAACAATCTCCAATTTTTTTGGTATGCAGACCAGATTCTTGCAATTGGAGGCGCAGGTACCCAATTAAAAGCATGTCCAGACATCCGAATTTTGCTGCACAGGCTGAACTTCAAGCGACCAGGGACCCAAATTTGAAAAGCCACACGCCAGCCTTGGGACCCAAATGAGAACCCTCCCAGACAGTTCTTGAAACCCTGCTTGGGGGGTCAGGAGTACCTAGTAAGTAGGTTAAGAACCCCTACAGACCATACTAAACCAGATATTAACCCGAATTGTCCCCAATATTAACGTACTTACTATGTCCTCATGACCCAAGCAGGACCAAAAAGCTTAGAGCTTGAGACCTAGCAGGCGACTACCGCAGATGACTACTTCGTCCCACAGCTCGAAGCTCTCTCGTACCGCTTGGGCCTTGAGGACCGCGTCTAAGATTGGGTAGAGAACTGGGGGTGTCCTAAGATTCAGGGACCTTTTGGGGGTCCCAATAGTAAATAATATGGAGTTTACTTTTTTGGGGTCTATGTTGAGGCCCCCCCCCCCCATTTTGGGAAACTACCAATTGCAGGATCCATGCCTACTGAGATCCAGACAGGCAGAGGTCAGAGTGATGATGGTGATGACACTGAGGATGATTAAATGATGTTCATCAGGATTATGATGATGGTGGTGATGATGATGTTGATGGCAATGTTGTGTTGTTGCTGTCGGTGGTGGTGGAATTGGTGGTGGTGGTGGCGGCGGCGGCGGCGGTGGTGGTGGTGGTGGTGGGGGTGGGAGCGGGTGGGGTGGGGGGGGGTGGCGGGGGTGGCAGCGGCGGCGATGGTGGTGGTGGTGGTGAAGGAGAAGAAGAGGAAGAAGAAGAAGAAGCAGATGATGATGATGATGATGATGATGATGTGGCAGCAGTGGTGGTGGCTGTGGTGGCGAAGTCGAGACGTAGCCACAGAAGTGGTAGGTGGCAGCAGCAGTAGGAGTGAGCGGCAGTGGGTATTAGCACTGTCAGTAGCAACAGCCGAAAGGAGGGTGTAAGAGGAGCTTTGGAATTGAGGCTTATGGGCTGCAAACGATTTGGAAGTAGATGATCTAAACGTGTATGAACAATTGTGTTTCTCCAATAGTCATCCCACGTCTCGGACGGCAGCTGGGTGACTTAGATGATAATCGAGGTCATCTCAATGCAAGGAACGGAGGTTTTGCAAATTGTGATGTTTTCCTGTGCAAGACTAGAGGGGTTGGCAGGGATGTCAATAGGGGCGATGATGCGAAGTTGGTGGCCGAGTGTGTCACTACTGCCAGCTACCCTTCACACATGGCTCCAGTTTAAATGGACTGACGTCTTTGTAGGCCAGCCCCTTGTGGGGGCTCCATGCCAGGTTGGGAGTGGGCATTGTCGGGCCATGGGCGTGCGGGGCCTGTTTTTTGCCAAAAGCTATCCTGCATCAAACTAACATGTAATCCCAGGCGGGGCGCTGTAAAGACTACGGTCCTGGGAGTCCTGTTAAAGCAGGGTCTATCAAGGGTTCCTTGTGTGTTTTGAGTGGGGCAACGCCTCGTCGTCATTAGGTGTTTGAAGGTCGCGGTGTGGCGAGGAGATCTGAATCGTAAACTAGGACGTTATGGTGTGGGTAACCCAGACCCCTGATTGATAAACACCTTCCCGTTAATGGTGATTATAATTATAATGGGGATCCTAAGATTAAATCCCTAGAAAGGAGGGGGTTTATTAATCAGGGGCCTGCATTATGAGACTCACAGGGGACGCGGCGTTCTGCAAAGTTGCTTCCTTCATTGGCCCAACATAGCCCAAGGATTGGAGGTGTATTACAAGTGCTTAGAGAGTGAGGTGGTATTGTGACAGCAATACTTGAGAATTAAGGTGGGGCGTTCGGTTGCAATATGATTACTCCCCTCCACCTAATATTAAGCACCCCCAACCCCCTATTCCCAACTGCGGTATAATATAATATAATATAGTATAATATATTGAGCGTATTTAATAGTAGGGGGGTGGAGGGGCTTAATATCCTAAGCCCTAAGCCCCAAACCCTAAACCCTAAGCTGAGCGCGCCAAAAAGCGACTAAACCCTGAAGGGGGAGGGAACTAACAAGCTCAGCTTCTGCTTTGAGGATGACGTGGCTGGTGTCACGCTGCTTGCGTTGGGCAATGGCATGCCTGACGCGATGACGGCCTGTAGCTCCGTCAACAAGGCAAGGTTTACCTTTAAAGGGGTGATAGGGGATATATGGCGATAAACAGGGGATATATAGGGCCCAGGTTTCCCAAAATTAAGGGTACCCTTGCTATAGTCCCAAAGACAACGATTATAGTCTGGGTCTATATTGGGTCCCCCCTGTTTTGGGAATCTACTAAATGCGATCACATGCGTGTGTAGCTCTCATTGCTGAGTCCAGCCATGGGTTGTTAATATGCTAGTTGGAGAGAGGCCAATGACCTACCATTGACCATGGGTGAGTTCTTGGGCGCCGCAAACTTCATTTGCATCTTCGTCCTGGCCGTTGTTTTGTTGGTGAATCCTGGGCCAACCGAAGTTGATGGCCTGCCCTTCCTTCGCGACTCGATAGTATGCCTGCTGGTGGTGGTATTCATGGTGGCCGTTACCTGGGACAACAAGATCACCTTGAGTGAGAGTATGTCTTTCTTTGCGGTTTATGCCTGCTACATAGCCTTAGTCCTCCTACCTGGGCGTCTCTGCTTCCGCACCGCGCACGCCCGAGCACTCGACTCAGAGGTGGAGATGGTTCGCGCGGACGAGGAGCCAACCAGCCCTTCGGACGGCAACTTCCTGCCGCTGGCCTCGGAATCGGAAGCCGAGGAGGACCTACTTGGAGGGTCATGGAGACTTAGTAAGTAGGTTAATAATGGGGGTAATTGGGATTATTATATGGCTTATAGGGGTTATCTACCTGAGGACCTAGAGGATTCCAAGCTGGTGGGTCCAGGCCTGCTGGCCTACAATCGACCCTCAACTCTACGCCTGGTGCTTGCCACCCTGGAGCTGCCTTTCACCTTAGCCAGAAGCCTTTGCATTCCCTCCGCCACGTGGAGCCGCAAGGAGCGGCTTCTCTCCGCCGCCTGTCCTGCCTGTGGGGTGATCTTCATGTTCCTGTCCTACGGAGGCTGGGAGGCATTTGAAGCCTCAGATGAAGTGCACTGGGCTAAATTGGAAACTCCTTCTGAAGTTTTGAATGCCCCAAGCCCGCAAGAGCCCTGCAACAACATACTACATACCATACATGCCCAACCATGAACTTTCTAAAGCACCACCAAGCCACAGATAAACAGATAAGGTGCCCGGTTGGGCTCTGGCCTTGGTAGTTGGCCTCCTGGCCAGCACAGCCGTGCTGTGCCTATCGAGTGCTCGAGAGCCGCCGGCCTGGCATCTCCTCCTCCTGCTTTGGGCTGTGGTTACGGTGCCATCCCTTGGGATTATTTCGGGTAATATAAGGATTATATAGGGTTATATAGGGCTATATAGAGATTATATAGGGCTATACAGGGATTATATTGAGTAATGTTCGGGTTATAATTAGTGGGATAATGGAAAATAAAATGGAAAACTACTATTTTAGGTTTAGGGATGGAACATGAAAGGGTAACCATTGGGGTATGACGTTAGGGTCATATAGGGGATTATATTGGGATGCTGGAAAAGAAAATGGGAGCTATTACAATGGGGCTATATAGGCATTCTTGCATGGAACATGACAGTGAGCGCATGCTGAAACGCTAGGTTGGGGAAATTACCCAAAGCAAATGGGGTGAGTAGGAGCTTGCAGCCTGTTTTGAGGCCGTCAGCTGGTTCAACCTGTTGGCCAACGAGTGCGTGGCTGTGTTGGAGGCTTTTGGCCTGAACCTTGGCATTTCCTCCTCTGTCCTGGGGATCACGGTCCTGGCGTGGGGCAACTCCGTGGGCGACCTCGTTGCAGACCGGGCTCTCGCCAAGCAAAACAGGCCGTAGGATGCTCTAGGGATTATGTTGGGGTTATATGGGGTTTATGTTGGGATAATGGAAAAGGAAATGGAAACTGCTATTTAGGGTTTAGGGTTTAAGGTCTTCCGATGTAATGTGTCGTTCTTTCGCTAGGTCGAAGATGGCGGTGGCCGGGGTGTATGGCTCACCCATTCTTAGCGATCTACTTGGCTTGGGAGTGGCCTTGACCTCACACGTCTCGCAGCACGGTGCCCTCGAGTCGCAGCTGAGCAAGCAGCAGCTTGCCGGTGCAGATGTTTCTGTGTTTGCCAAACACCTGTGAGGCAATACTCAAATTGCAGAAAAGCAGGCTGTCCAGTGTAGGGGAAGGGTAGGGGGGAAGGCAAGTAACAATAACAACTTAGGAATCGAATTGCGGCGGGCGCGCTGGTTGTTGGGTTGCTCCTTTCGATCATAGTGTGACTCAGATGCCAATTGCTTCAAGCTGAAGGAACCCCTAATCTCTGCACCCTTAAACCTCGATAACCCATACCCAGTTGAAGTGACCGAAGCCCCTATAAACATTACAAGAACCCTGGCGCTTTCTGTCGGAGTTGCTCTGAAACTACCTGGGGGGGCTTCCCAAAAATTAGGGGTACCAGTTTGGGGTTCCAATAAGAAGGATTATAGTATGTGGGGGTCTAGATTGGGGTCCACCTTCTTTTGGGGAACTACCCCCCAAAACCTTCCTGGAGCAGATCCTTTGTTGTCCAGCGGTATCCAGCCAAGGTTTACCGTCTTCCGCTTTCGCTGCCCCCGCAATTTCGCATGGGTTCCTTGGCTTCATAGGGACTTAGGGTGAAGAGTTTAAGGTTGACCAGGAATAGTGCCCATAAGGGGGTCCTCCTATATTCAAATTATACCGTTATACCACTGTTACAGGGTGGGGAGTCCGCCTAATGGATGCCTCACAAGCGAGATGTCACACCGTTCCGTCCGTGTGCACAACTTGTGATTCCAGGTTCTGATCGGCTTGTATGCAGTCTCCATGGTAGCTTGGCTTGGCAAAGCTGTGTGCGTCGGGTTGGTTCTTTACAAGTCTTCGTGTAGCGCTCTCCGGCTTGATAGAGTGGACTAAGGGACTTTCGATCAGCTGCGAGCTGGGATATGTTCCGGACATTTCCTAGCCTTGAAGCCGGGGATTCGAGACAGCCGCCCCCCCAAAGGGAGTGGGCGGCTGTGAGGGGGGAGTAGACCCGTGTAGTCAGCGGGCAGAAGTTCCTGCATCTGAAATTGACTAAGGGTAGTTTCCCTACAGAGGGGGACCCTAATATAGACCCCCAGATACTACAGTTCTTACTAGAGGGAACCTCAAAAGGGTACCCCTATTAGGAAACACTCAAATGAGAAGCATGTTTTTCCGCGGCCATAGCTCCGCCGAGTGGTTGGCCTGGCCCTCCCCAAGCCCGGAATACTTGGAGGATGGATGGGGATTGAGTAAATGGGTTGATGATGGGAAAGAAAATGGAAACTACTATATATCACGCAGGGTTTAGGATTTAGAGTCAGTCAGATAACAATGATGGGGAAATCTTGTGTTTAGTATATGGCTTATCGTGGTTCTGAACCTACTTACAGTACTAAGATCTCTAAGACTTGAAATTCCCATGACCCTCCAAGTAGAGCTTGGTGCAGTGTCATGGTGGCGACCAGTGCAGCATACATGCATACATGCCCAGAGAAGGAAAAGCCTGCGCTGCATGTGATGTCTCCTGCATCTCCAGCTTAGTGCAGAGCTTGCGCGAGTAGGGGATGAAGGAATGGATCCCTTCAACGATCCTCAGACTAATCCCTGCAGTAATCCCAACGACCTAGACCCTCCATCTACCCTGTATATACCTAAATGCCCTTTAGCTTGGAGCCTGTGTAAGTTTCTTCAGGCCACGAGGTGCTCGCAAGCAGAGCTCTGGGACAAGATGGATCGGGACCGGGTGTGGTCACACTGCTTCATTATTACTCTTCTGATTTTAGTATTAGAATTACTGTTACTATTTTTACTAGTATTACTATTAGTACTATTCTTATTCCTACTCTTATTCCTACTACTGTTATTGTGGCAGAAGCCTGGTGCACCTCTCGTCTGCATGTTTGGGCCGCCCGTGCAGTCTTGTGCTTGCGGAAGGGGCCTGCGAGAGTCTGGCCGCAGCATTGAGGGCTCAACCGCATGCCGGCCTGCCGCGGAATACCTGACGCTAGCCGGACATGAGATGAAGAGAAACACGCTGAAGCTTCCGCCCGTCAACGATGCTCCGAAGAGAACGGGCGATGAATTTGCGCTTCAGCTGCCATATTCTAACTGGTCCTCGGTAAGGCATAGAGGCATATAGTATATTGGGATGACATTCCCTTATTCCCTACTAGGAGCCAGTAAGTTTTGTTTGGACCTGGTCTTTAGTGCAGCTTCACCATGTGTCACGTCAAAAACCCACTGCTCAGGCGATGGAGTGCGAGAAGTGGTCGGAGGCTTCAGCTTCTCAGATGCAAGCATATGGGGGCTTCCCAAAATTAGGGGTACCCTTTTGGGGGTCCCCATCATCAGCATTCTAGTGTTCTGGGCCTATATTGGGTTCCCCTTGTTTATGGAAACTACCATATGCGTTCTTCTGCAAACTGCATGGTTTTTGGAGTCCGGCCATAGTACAGAAGAATCGAGCCCTAATCCTGGAAAGCCTTGTGCTCGTGCTTATGTCAGCAGCTGGCTGAGGCAGGGAACTGTTGTGTTTGAGCCTGCTGATGCCTCGCTACGGGGCTTGTCAAGTCCTGCGCGCTCTGCTGCTAAGGATGAGGACGATGACTTCCCCTACAAGGAATCCGGGTCCTTGTTGAGGATAAGTTACCATCATTAGTCATATGAAGGCCTACACCCAAAACAAACAGACATAGGCAAACGTCTAGTATCCATACATATGTGCATTAACAAACAGGCATATGTTTACATATATACTTATATATGCGGCAGCAGCGCGCTTGTAGCAAGAGCATCCCTGAAGGTATAATCCAAGAGTTGGTTTCTCAACAATTTTGGGGGGTCCCTACAACAAGGATTATAGTATACTAGGGTCTATATTGGGGTCCCCTTAGTTTGGGAAGCTACTAGGAGTGGGTGGCCAGCATGGCCCGGAGAACTCTTCAGCCTCCGATTCGCAGCGCCTACGACCTGGCTGCCATGACGTGGCTAACTGAGAAGGAGTCTGGGCCTGGGGATGTGCTTCATTTATATAGGCACATATATACATGCATATATGTATATGTGTATATATGCACATGTATATGTGTAAGTGTGTATGTATATATGTGTGTATGGGGTATATACATTCTTATATTAGGGTATATTATACCCTCCAGCAGTGGCAAAAATCATATGGAAAAGAATGTGGGACATGATCTGGAGTTTGGGGTCATATAGTCAGTTCGCGCATGGGGGGTTTTCATACATTAGGGGTCCGTTTTTGGGGTTACTTTAGTAAGGACTGTAGTTTACCGGTGGGGTTAACGCTCCGAACCCTAAACTGCCCTTAGGGTTAGGGGGGTTGAGGTGTAGAGCCTAGGGTGTACAGCGCACGGGTTTGGGGGTTTAAGTTTAGCTCTCTGACCTTAGAGCCTTAGACACCCCAACCTTGTTTTGAAAAAATTCCCCTAAATGGCCAAGGAGCAGGTGCAGAAGATCCATTTCCAGGAAAGCTACCCGGCTTGGCAGTCAGAAAGGAAAGCTTTCTGAAAACAGGAGTTCCCGCGGGACCCTGAAGAAACATAGGGATCATAAGGAGATATTGGGGGCTCCCTACAAGGAACGAGGAACTATATCGGCTTGTTTTAAGTATGAGAAGACAGCAAGCCGTCTCGTCTTGTTGGGTCAAGGGTCGGTTCCGGGCATTAACACATGCGCATGACTATGCATGTCTACTTACATGTATACAGGTATGTTCCCTTGCGGGTAGGTTTTGATTGTCGTTTTTCGCAAGCTTCGAAGCGCACAGCTTGCCCAGGCTACCGGAAGGAGCGCCTCTTCCTACCAGCCGTGACTATGCCGGCGTCCACAGCGCCACAGCATGGGATGCATCTGCTTGGGGCGAGCCATAGGCTGAAACAGCAGAAGGTCCAGGGTTTAGGGTTTAGGGTTTAGGATTTAGGGTTTAGGATTTAGGGTTTAGGGTTCAGGGTTTAGGATTTAGGGTTTAAGGTGTAGGGCTTAGTAGGGTTTAGAGTTTAGGATTTATGGGCCCAGCCCCCCCATCCAGAAGAGAGCTTGAGATTCTCTTGGAGAGTCCTGGGGACTTAGTAAGTAGGTTAGGAACCCCTAAGCCTCTTAATCTCACCAATTATCCCCTTTTTACCTACTTACTAAGTCCCCATACCCCTGACCTTTGTGGGAAGACCTGTGACAGGTGGCTGCGAGGCATGGTCGCCAGAGGTGGCGCTTCATGGGGAAAGCGAGACTTGGCACGTTCCAGGACCAATGCTTCAGATGAGCTCCAGTCTAAACTCCTTAAAGGGGGGATAATATAGGGGATTATATACGGGACTACCATATACTAGGAGTTTAGACTATAGCTCAGATGTTCTTCTCTCTTTTTCTCTCAAAAATGACCTTCGTTGGGGAGAGTGAGATGTGTCAAGATGCCATATGCTACCCAAATGCTGGAAGGCAGAATCAATAACATTTTCAAATTGCCTTTTGATCCTGTAATGCATTCTGGCCGAGGGGCTGAAGGTTGAGCTTGCTAGAGTTCGTTGGAACGCTTCCATAGCAGTAGTAGCAGCAGTAGTAGCAGGAGCTGTAGCTGGCACACTATTACTAGCAGCAGCAGAAGGAGAGGGAGGAGTAGGAGTAGGAGGGGGAGGAGGAGGAGTAGGAGTAGAAGTCGAAGTAGGCGCAGGGCCAGGAGCATGAGCACAGCAGCAGCAGCAGCAGCAGCAGCAGCCGCAGCAGCAGCAGCAGTTGTTGCAGTTGTAGTCGTTGTCGTAGTCCAGGTCGAGGTCGATGTCGAGTCGTAGTACTACTCGAACTCGTAGTAGTCGTCGTAGTCGTCGGAATAGTAGCTATTCTTCTTCTTCTTCCAGTACTAGAAGTATCAGTGGTGATCGTGCAGATGCCAGTGGCAGTAGCAGTAGCATTGGGGATCCTAAGCCGCAGGATGTATACCCCTCTCATGCGTGTAAAGATTATGGGGTCTTGCTTACGAGGATCTTCAAGAACCTCCACACAGCTTTCAGATTCCAGATACCCAGATGACTTGAAACCATGATTCTACCCCAAACCCTAGACCCTAAGTTGACTGAACTGTGTTTGCCGTGTACGTCATGTACTGAGAGAGTGGGCTGTGTGACGTAGTCCTCGAGTCGTGTGGGCTGCTGAGTAGTCCCCTCTTGTCACCGTAGTTGCTGTTCCCTAGTCACTGTACTGGGGAGCTGGACCGGACATATTCTCCCGTGCCTGCACTGCTGCGCGATGCGCGTGTCTAAACCCTAGACCCTAAACCCTAGACCCTAAACCCTAAGCCCTAGACCCTAAACCCTAAGCCCTATAGCTGAGGAGATCCACAGAGGCCCAGACTGTGACGATGACAGAGCCAGCTGAGCGCGACGAGTACCACAACGTGCAAACAAGCATAGCGGGTTCCCGAAGGCTATAGTCCCCCTTTAGTAGATAGAATATGGGGTATGTGGGGATCGTATTTTAACAAACCCAAAGCAATATTCTATGTACTTAAGGGGGACTATAGGGGTGCCTTTTATGGTGAATTCTTGGATTTTTGATTATGGTCTTTCGATGAGCTGGCGGATCGGGTGCCGGGGGTTCGGGCTTCATTGTTGGCATTTTGGCCTCAGCATGATGCAGTAGTTTTCGTAGGGTGTCGAGAATCTTAGTCTTCTAATTCCTAGCTGCTGAGTGGGATAATCTTAGGGCAGCTGCCACGTCTGCATCTAGGAGTTATGACCTGCTACCGCGGGTGTCATGGGTACCTTGCAGAGGAAGAGGGCAAACAACGACATTTGTATGTCCAGTGTGCTCTGACATGTTTCAATCCGAAGCTTTTGAGATACCTGCATGGAGTCTACATGAGTCAGTGACTTGCAGGTTGTTAGTTAAGAATGAAGTACAGGCAAAGAAAATTGAAGCAATTCACGGGAATTTTATAGGGTTTATACACCACATATCAGTAAGTTTAATTGGAAGGTGGGCTCAACGAGTCTCTGGGCTAACCATGCTGTCATTCCATCTTGGCCAATAGTACCCTCTCTGGATCCTTCTAGAGAGCAGTCGCGGCTTCTGTCCAACGCAAAGAAATGGAAGCTAACGGGAATTGACATCCTGCTGCCGCGATTGCCCCCATGCCTCTTCCTTTGAGGCCTGCCTGAGCAAGGGCACGCAAGATCGCTTGATTAGAAGGAAGCCCTACCTAAAGGAAAAGCGGACCCTTTGAACAAAATCGAATGCTGTCTAAGTAAGTTCCCTAACCCATTCATAAGTCCAGGTTCCACACAGCAGCCAAGGTATGTGCCAGCTGGATGGGGTAACCTGAAGGACTACGTCCACGGGGTCCCTGTGAGCCATGATCTGGGACTGGTTTTTTGGGGGTAAGTCAGGGCTTTAAATGATATACCTCTGATGCTATGGGATGTATGTAGGGACTCAGAGGGGTCACAAAAGCTTGGCTTTCTTGCATCATTCTGTCAGATACTGGGCATGAGATATCAGGACCTTCTGGGATTACATTTGGACACTTGTAGCTGTAAAAGTCAGCGTGACAAAAATCTGCACACGCATTGCCCTAAGTCCCAGACTAACACATGCTAAGCCTGATTAGCCATAAGTTGCACGCCTTGCAAGCCCCGCGGCCTCCAAACCTGTCAGAAGCCTCCACAAGCCAGGGCTCCATCCAAAGCCTGCAAGCTTCAAAAACTCAAGTTTTAAGCTTAGAGCAGACCCCAAGACATCCCAAGCCCAAGGTCAAAATTGGGCCTGGCAGTCTCTTCAGTCATCACTGGGATCGGCCCACGCCCTCCGGGATCCATCCGAACCCGGGCTTGAGGCTTAAGGGTTTAGGGGGGTCAAAGATTGAGGTTTTAGGTTTTTTGGTTTGAAATGTTTCGGGTTACAGATGTAGGAGTAAGGGTTAAGGGTGCGGCGGGTGCTGCGCTGACCGTGGCATGCAACACAGTCAAACGACGCAAGCGCTGACTGAGCAAACAGAGAACAACAATCTGCTGGCCGTTCGTGAGAGGTTTGCTGGAGATTGCAGCCGCTTTGCAATGCCGCGCAGCGAGCGCAGAGAAGCATAGCATGACAGCCAGCTCTGCAGAAGGATGGCCACCAGCGCAGAGCACGGCAAGATGCTCCAGCAGATGCGAAGCCAGGCAAGCTGTGCTCGAAGCCCAAAAGCAGAAGGTCCGCGGAAGACCTGCGAACAGCCAGGCACTGGCCGAGGAGCCGTTAGCGCGACAGGTTTGCAGACGGAGAATGGTGCAGCGGCACAAGGAGTACAACCCGGCAAAGCTGTTGCAGGTGGATGATCTCCTCGTGAAATACACAGGTCAGCGGCAACCGGGCCTCCTTTGGAAGAGCTTACCTGGGACCATAATACTACCAAACGTTGCGTCTCCATCTCTGCGCGCCCTTGGAACTAGGCATGAAAAAACATGCAAGGGCCCCTATGCTCAGTACGGGTGCAAAACCAATGCCTTGCGTCATGAGCATTTCTCCAGGGATGGGTGTTGCTTCATGAACCATTACCAAAAGGTATATGTGTATCACATGCAGTCGGATGACATGATATATACACAATTGAGCATGAGTTGTTCGTGGCAAGCCCACCTAGCGACAATTCTGGCTGCTGGACGTTCTGTTCCGCGTTGAATAGGACCTACGTAGGGCCCAGTGATGCCCAGTGTGATGATGACTAAACAAGGAAGGGATGTGATGTTGTTTGCTTTTGGCTACCACAGAATTTTCAGAGGTTCCACTTTCCAAACCGCTTTGCCGTTCTTCTGCGATTTGCCCAGGCTGTGCCGATGATAGAAACATGAATATATGTTTAGCATCATGACGCGCAAAAGATCTGGTGACAAAGGTCTTGAGGTCAGGCTTTTCGTAGGACAAGCAACTTTTTTTTGTTGTGTGAAGATCGTAAACAGTCGAGCTCATTTTAGGTTAGCAGAAAGATTCTGAGTATACCTCGACAGGTAATTAATGGTAATTAACTATTTGAGTACGAAGACCGAAACGTGAGCAACGTAAGGGATGGATAAAACAGTTGTTTCCCCTATTGTGGCTGGATTCCTGTCTTGACTCAGGAACCCTCCGAAATCCCGGGGAAAGCTGATGCGCCACCACACCCTACACATGTAGTCTTGGAAGCGGACGAATTTTGAACAGGGGTTGAACATAACCTGTAGGAGTTTACATATAAAGGCCCCGAATTCTAGCGTTCTATATTGGTCACATATAAACGAGATGTCTACCTCAGCAGCAATGGTCCTGATTGGAGTCATACAGTGGCCAAGCTTGCATGGTTCTGCCATGCGGCAATGTCTTAAGTCATCCTCAAGAAGATTCCGCAAATTTTGACAGACCCGCTGCGGCAGCTTGGTTTAACTTTAGCGCGTGCAATGAACTGGCTTCAGTCAGTCTCCAGGCACAAATGGATGTTTCCAAAAATACTGTAGGGGTGGCGCTTGAATGTCCCCCAACAATAGACTCGTTTTAAAAGGCCGTCGCGTTAAACCCCAAGCCCCAAACCCTGCATACCCCCTTACCCCCGTGCATATTACCTAAACCCCATACTCCTTCGAAAGGACGCCCGAGGATTTTTGGAAACCCTCACATGCTTTAGCGGCCTCGGCTTCAGATCGCGAAGCGATCCTTGGCGAGCTGAAGGTTTGCCGCCAGAGGCGCAGACCAAGAGGGGGAGAGCCTCGTGGGTTCAGGGTGTAGGGGGCCTAGGTAGTCCGGCAAACGAGTAGAGCCCGGATGCAAAAAAAAGGGGCCTAGGTAATTAGGTGTTCATCTAAGTCATATCCAGGTTAGAAACCGTACATCCCCTGATAGATAACTCCAGTGTTTTGTGAAATGCCTGCTTAGGGCGGGCCAGGCATCCTATTGTCCTATTGTAGATAAGACTATGCGCTATACCATAGTCTTCAACCATACTAAACAAAATTTTGGTGGTGTTACTATAGAATACTGTATTCTGCTACAACATATCCTACTTTATCTATACTAGGGCGGGTGTTCAGGTTTCGGGTGGTGAAGAAGCCTCAAGCCAAACATTTTAGAAACAGTCATTTACGGCGCAGCATGTCTCACGTCCCACCAGAGGTTGACCCCGATCGTTCAGGTTAGGCCCCCACCCAGAAACAGTGGTATACCTAGCATTCATAGAGCACCATTATTCCCTTGTGGTCACTGTGAGTGGGTGGGAGCGCAACCTAGAGAATCTCATAGGTCTTAAACAGCATGCGCGGACTTCTCGAGCCAAGTTCGGGACAAGCGCGCTTAGATATCAGAGACGGAAGCCAGCTTGGACAGAAAGTGCGTGCAAGTGTCCCCATGTTGAGACTGTCGCTTTCGATTTTCACAATGAATTAGTACCACGACCGAAAACTCAGAGTCTCCTTTTGGGTCCCAGTTGATGGAGGAATTGGCACATCATCTAATGCCAGTTGAGGCCCGATGCTAGGCGCCATAACAGGATTCCTCCAGTCAGGGCTACAGCATATTCGGCACGGTCGCCAGAGGTGCAGCTCACTAGATCTGCAGTCCATTCCCCGTAGCAAATGAAGCTCTAATTCCGATCGACGCCCACGCGTGCATCTTCGAAACTCGGGTCGGCCTTGTAGAGTCAATAATTCTTACTACAGGGCCTCCAAAATGCTACCGTCAATTGTTGGACGGGGCGCTTGCTGTAAGATAAGGTTCTGCTTATAGTACCGCTTAAGTAGATGGAATGTGGCTTTGGGTATAATACAAAAAGATGCCCATATACCCCAGGCCCATATTCTATCTACTTGAGGGGGACTATAGGGTGCCTCCTCATCAGTGTTGGCCCTGGAGGCGGAGGGGGGGTCCATGCAGATGAAGCGGCCCTCCCCAGTTCACCCAAAAGAGTATAGCCTTGACAATCCACAGCAACTGTCGAATCTTATAGGCTTTGGGGAGAAGAGTGTAGCCCTGACAATCCACACGAAATCGTCGAACGATTATTAGGTTTTGGGCAGGGTCTATAAGGTTCATTATGCATATCGCTATAAGGTTCATTATGCATATCGGCAAGTATACATATGGGCCTCCATTCGGGGAGACAGTAACGTGAAATTTTATCATTGTGTCCGAATATATCCTATGCCTCCACCCGCTCCTCACAGCACATCATCTAAACGGCCTGGGCTTGACTCTTAAGGGTTTACAAGGCCCCACAGGTTGTCTCAAAAAAGGGACCTTCTAGGGATCGTAAGGGTATGTGGGGATTCGATAGCCGCCCTCGTGAAGGAATGGATCATTTTAAACAAGCCATATGAGATAATGTGTAGTTCCTCCGCAGCACTCTAGGTCTTCCCCAGCCCTCAAACTCTAAACCCTGAACCCTATGAAGTTTTGAGGAGCTTTGCCGCGAATACACGTGCAGTTCATACGACGCCACGGCCTTTGTGCTTCGAGTGTCGGAGCATTACAACAGCAATGTTTCTAGTGGGTCCTCCAAAAGCCTAGGGATGTCCAGGGATGACAGAGAGACTGTTGAGGTAAAGGGACTCGGGAACGCCTACTTGGAGGGTCATGGGGACTTAGTAAGTTGGTTTATAATGGGGATAGTTGGGGTTATTATATGGCTTATAGGGGTTATAAATTATAAACCTATTTACTAGGTCCCCATGACCCTCCAAGTACTCCCCCTTCCTCTTCTGCTCTACATGCGCTATGCTGGTCCTTGTGTCTGCACATATTGCCAGCCGACAGGTATTCACGTTTTGAAGTCTAGGCGCTTTGAAGGCCATGACCATGCAGGATATCTTGCGTCTCTGTTTGCGAAAGCTGCAGCCAGATGTTGCAAAACTGACTTCAGATCCGCAATCAAAACGGGGACCCCGCAAACCCACTGTCCCGAGGATCCCGATGTAGAATTGAAGCGTTGTCTTACGGTTTTTTTTTACCAGCTCAAGGACATATTGAAGAAACTCAGAACCATCCGAAGCATCGCTCCAAACGAGCTGCGGTCTGCGCACACGCGCAGGTAGTGCGGCGCAACTGCCATCATTTCTCCCAAGAGGCCTCCGCAAGGTTATCGAGTTCCCGTTTATTCGAGGCGGTATCAAGTGGGGTAGTACTTACGCTCACACAGCACAACTGCTTCTAAGGTTCGGCCTTCCTTGGTAGGTTCCATGCTGTATTTCCTCTGGGAAGATGTCTTACGATGGCGGCGATAAATTCTTGACGTAGCAGCATGTTGGTCCATGATGATTTTCATTTGGCCTAGATCTTGCAAACTCAGATTTCTGTGCGGCTGCGTGTGTTTGAACTGTTTGAAATCATCCCTACGCCCAGAGATGGACACGCACCATAATATAGTGTCCTCCCCTAAACTAGCATGGAAATACCAAGACTGTTGTTGCTTCGAAGGCGGAGCTTTCGGGAGGGTAGAAGTGCTGGTGCCAGAAGCAGTATGGCAACTTTTCGCATGGCTTTTCCAGCCCAGCCCATTATGAGCTGTATACATCTATGGGCAGTTTTCACGGAGTCATAGTCCTCGGGGAGAGTTTCTCTACTACCCTGTGGCGCCCAAGTGTGTGTTCTCAAATCCTCTACAGTCCAAACCTTTCGTAGAAAGATCCGAGGTTTCGATTCTAGACTCCGCGGCCCGACTGCGGAAGTAGGATAGGCTGGGAGCATAGCTGTTAGCTCGAGAGGTGGCTTGGTTCCTGCTGAACAAGAGGCTCCCCGAAGAGGCATCCGCCAGACTCATGTGAGCTGCTGTTAATTGGGTTACCAAGGGACCATTAAGGGTGGACATGGACATGGGGGCCTCTTTAGTGCAGCATGGTCCCTGACAGATTCCGGGATAGGACCACATGTCCATTATTGACAGGGGGAATATCGTCTGCTAGCTCATGTGGGTTTTGCGCAGAGGGGGTCCACCCGTTCTTGGCCTTGGGAGAATCCAGTTGTGTCGAGATCCTCCGCTGTCACGCGCGTGGTTGGGTCATATGAACCCTAAACAGTAAACCCTAAACCCTAAACGCTAAAGGGATTCGATCTTGATTAGCTCATATGAAAGGTAGTAGATGGCCCCGGTGACTTCCTTCTTACTCACAACAACAGGATGTCTTTTCGGCGGAGGTGACTGTAGCAGTCTCCAAGCCAGCGGGTGTTATTACATTTTAAGCAGTCTATTGAATTTATTTTTTACCAGGTCATAGCGAATACTATAGTATTTCACATCATTTTTCAGCACAGAAGAAGAGGCAATCGCCTGTGCCTCAGGGCTTGTGCTGGACTGCTCCCAGAGCTGAATGTGGCTGGTTGAGGTGTTGGGCTACAGTATGACGGCTAAGGTTTAGGATCTTTAGTCGCATCATGTCCCATGGGTATCTATAAGGTGCGGTTAGAAGTGGCCCAGACAAGATCCTACTGAGAGTTGCCCTGGATCTGACCCCACTCTTGCTGTGCATGTCTCGAAACCTGCTCCTGCAGATCTGGCTACAGCCTACGAACTTTGCCAGCTCTGTGGCGGAACACAGGCCCTGATCTGAGATTGTCACATGCCAGGGGCGGTTGCCCATGACCACGCGCTTCGGGTAATAGCGCAGCAGTTGGAAGTCACAGGAGATTGAGGCAGGTCATGAGCTCAGGAAGAAAGAAAGCAGGGGCTACGCAAATATATTCCGTCAACTTTGCCTAGATTGCGCCAGTAAAAGGGGCTTATAGAGGCAACATTGGGATTATATATTGGGGTTATATATTGGGGTTATATAGGGATATGGAAAAGAAAATGGAAGCTACTATTGAGGATTCAGACAGTTCATTTTGGGAAGAAGAGAGACATTTGACGACGTCATGGGGTAACCCTGCATTCTCAAGATTAGACTATAGCTCACGTGAGCAAAAGTCTAAACTGCGTAAAGGGGGGTTATATACGTAGGGGATTATAAAGGGGACTGCTAAAGGGCTTATTAAGGGGGATACTAGGAGTTTAGACCCTAAACCCGCAAACCTTAAAGCCTACAGTATAGGAGTTATTAAGTGGGATGCTAGGACTAGGAGTTTGGACTCTATAGCTCACATGGCTTTGAGTTTGGCCACGAGACAGTGTCTAGAGGTACATACATGTCAAGAGAGGCTTGAAGCTCGCAAGTCCA